TCTGTACAAACGTTGCTGGTGTTTTTACGCACAAGCACACCATACCACTTCTTTGCTTGCTGCTCTAAACGTGTTGATTTGTTCTACACTTGCACAAATGGTAGTGATCGGAAGTTTTTTTTGCAAAAATAAAGATACATAGAAAACACATTTGGACTTGTACGTGTGACATGATAGGAAAAACTCATTACAAAAATTGGGCGCTTATAGACGCCGGCGCGCCGGCCGAAAGTTTGGGTCGGTCGAGCCCAAGCCGTTGGACGTGAGTCGTGCGGCCGTTGGATCCAGACAAGAAAAAAACAAATCGTCCCTAGCTTCTTCTTCTTCGGGTTGTCGGGGTGGATCCCCATGTCCCGCCCAGGGAGCGTGCCTCCTATCCGGGTCGCAGCCCGAGAGGAGAAGGGAGGGGATGCGCGTGCATGAAGGCTAGAGGTAGGGGATGGAGGTGTATAGGAAAGAAGGCGTGTCACACAGGGCCACTGCGTGTTGCACGTTGGGCCAGCGTGGTGTGCGAGCGTCCAATGTTTATCTAAAAAAAGTCTTTAATTTCAACTAAAACTAGCTTCCTCAATTTTACTCACGACTAACACACACATGCATTAATGCTCACCGGTCAGAGCTGTCAAACCAACACCGGGAGACGATGACCGCGGTCGCCATGGACCGGAGCCATCACGAACCGGAGCAAATCAAGTCAGAGACGACGCTTCCCATGGAGCTCCGGCAGACAGCAAGGAGTCGCCGCAGCGCCGCCGCCTACGCAATCGTGGAAGGGCGCCCATCTTTATCCGTCGGTGCCGACTGCCACACATGCCACACCGCGTGCCACCAACTCCCGGCGCCAACTCCCCACGGCGACCACTCTCCTTCGCGGCAGAGCGCCCCGCAACACCGTAGCCCCGTGAGAGGGAAGAAACGGAGTGCCTCGCCGCCACCGGTACCGTGTGGGCTTTGCCCGGCGGCGCCTACTGACGGCGGTGAGGAGAGGGAGATCTGGGTAGGAGGTAGTTCCCTCGGCGGCTAGGGTTCTGCCCGGGTCGCCTGCGGGGTCCTGTTCTCGATTACACTCCATTTGTTTGCCAGTTCCGAGATATATCAGTCTAGCAGGAGATGAACTATACACAAGATTGAGAAATTTTACACCATTACTGATTAACGATGAAACATGGTGAAACATGCACGTTCCTTCACACACCTACGTATTTGGCTTGGCTAGCTAGCTAGCAACAATGGAGCTTGCGTGCACAGGGCAGACGACTGAACGGCCAGTGATTGAGCACACGTACTCGGTACTCACGCCTGCAAGCACTAAAGATTGAACGGCCACTTCGGTAAGTCTCCATCTATCCCACTGCAAAACTATTCGGTTTTCCCTAATCTCTGTTACGTGTGCAATCCTGACGGGGACAAACGCCTCCTCGGCAAAAAGGTCGGGATAAACCGGGATCAGATAAGACGGGGTGCTAATTTCAAGGATTTGGAGTTTAGGGTTCATTTCAGACTTCCACTACAAAATCAAGGTTTTTTTAGACTTTTCCCTAATGTTTTTAATGCAGTTTCTGAGTAGTACCCTGAACTGAATCTTCACAGTTCCACAGCTAGTTCCTTCTTTTGTGTTGTCAATAAAAACAATTTCCTACTAGATGTGCATTCATTGTTCAGGCGATTACGAAGCCAGAACACATTAGCGTCCATGCCAGTGTTGTAGATGGACCAATGACGAATGTCTCACCATCTCTGAAACACTGCTTCAGCCACTCATGCGGCTCATCCACAACGAAAACCGTTACAACACGTCTACAAGACAGGGCACTCGCTACCCATGAAGACAATAAGACATACACACGTCGCCGAGGAGAGGAACACCGTCAAGGTTGCCATTGTCGAGCACCAAACATCTTTCACAGGCTATCAGGGCATCGTTGCCGCCATGTCACCCCACAACACTACAGCTCCGATTTCACCACTACACAAAAGGAAATTGCAAGGACAAACTATATAACAACTACAGGAATTTGCAATACCAAACCCTAGCTACCACACCTTCCACACCGCCTAGCGCTAGGCGCTTGCAGTCCAGCACACAGCTAGGGTTACGATGCTAGGATGACGTAACGCTACAATGCTAGGATGACAGAATTCCTTCTAGGTCATCCTTAGAGAAACGTAAGACCCATGGAGCAAACGGCCAAAGTGTGGATCAGCAAAAGGCAAAGACCAGGCAGATGCAATGGAAGGATTATTAGTATATGATATGACAATTTGATTTCAAGGCAGTTCAGACCTGACGGAGCATGTTCCTCCCCGGTGCGCAGACATGGCTTAGTATTTACAATGTTTATCGTAAAACATAATGGAGATCGTTCTTGGCTCAGGTGAATATCTGGCGTAGGAGATCTCCTGAGTAGGCGAACGACTTCTCGGTCTCCTCCAGGCAGTGGTCCTTCTCTTCCCGAGACCAGCTCTGATGGTGAATGAATGTAAGCAGGTTAAGACCAATCGGTGAGGATAAACGAGCAGACAAGAATAAGAGCATGAAATCAAAGCTCTTGGACTTACAGAAGCAACTTGGTTTAGTGTGATGCGGACATTCTGCAGCAGCTGGGACAGGGTACCTTCCCACTTGTAGAACTCCAGCTCTTTCTTGTCCAGAATCTTCTCGGCAACCTGAAATGAAGAGAGGGCATGGTTAGTCCGTTAAAGGATGTCAAATCATAGAGTAACAAATACTAACTTTCATTCACACCACACAGACATTACAGACTGGCACGATGCCATGATTTGAAAAGTAAAAAACCAGGATTCTAGGTCCAAACCGAAATGGACAGCTATAGAATGAATATAAAGTTATATCTACATAGCACAAGTCCTAGATATAGAAATAGATGTGTATGTACTATGTAATATGATCAACGAAGTACACACAGTAATACCACACGTGTACCTCACGTTGGAATTTCAATCAGCACAACCAGAAGAATGAGATTTAAGAACCAGCATCAACAGCAAACACATGTTTTACAACAATATGTGGAGCCATTCAAACACACACTATTTGACTCAGATGAACGTTCTGGTACAAGACTATTTCTGCAAAGACGTACCTTTTTGCCAATCATTCGGCCTCCAGCAGTATGAGCAAAGTACACATTATAGAAGTGGCAGATAAATGCTTGGGGATCCTTCTCAGACAACTCTTCCAGATAGGAAGCATATGCAGTACCAGCAGCAGTTGGTTCTGGAATGGTGTGACCCTGTTCCGTGAACCATTCCAGATCTTTCTTCAGTGGCTCGGATCTCTCCAACCCAGTATTCCTAAACTCCGCATCTGAAAGGCATAAATAACTACATTGTCAATCCACAGCATCTAACAATGATAAAAGAAACATTCCAGATTCTTCCTAGAGAACTTAAATGCAGAAACAGGTTATATAACCATCCACGATACCACTATGAGATTTCAGTAATTATGATGTTTATTGTTGTAAACAGAAAAAACTATGTACCGTCGATTTTGCTAAATTTCGCTGTTCTAACCAAGTAACCACAGTGTTACTCTTGATAGAACTATGCCGTTAAAGGTGTCGTCAATGTCAACAAGATGGATTTCACAAGTTCAAGTAGAAAAAGAAACAAAAAAAATCATCAAAACAGATAGACAATCAATCTTAACCCATTTATTTGCAATAAGTACACAAATTTAATGACCAATTTTAGTTTTAAAACTACAACTGAAATAGGTACTAGTATCAATCTTAAACCATTTATTTGCTATTTTTTAGCAAGCTACTATTTCTATTGCAAAAATAATAATAAACGACGTGAACACAAATTCACCCAAGCCGCCAGACAAAACCATAACCAATAGCTGGGGAAACATTATAACAACAGCACATAAAACTGAAATATGTTAGAAGAGAAAGAGCCCTTCAGACACAAGGAGATGAAGGTTGCCCTGCAAACAGTGTTGTGAAAGGTACCACCTCCTGCAGAAATTGTCTTGCCTTGCCAGCCACCTAACCCCGGGTAAGCACTAAGCGACACCCTGCCCTCATAGGCTCATACTGCCTAGAGCCTTTTAGAACGCTGGTTTACGAAGATAGAAGTATTGGGAAAAGCATCGAAAGAAAGCAGCAGAAAATGGCTTCGGTAATCATTCTAAATGGGAAGAATCCACCATGCACGAATAAGATGGCACAGAGAAGCTTTCAACAGGTTTGTCAAAGAGAGCAAAAACCACTATCCCAATAGGTTATATACTTATGTGTTAAGCAAACAAATACACCATACCAAATCACAAGTAAATGCAAATGGAAATGCCCAATACTTTTTAGTTGATAGCTTGATATATGAGCAGTATTTAGCCATGCTGAAAATTACTGACAAAATACTTCAGACTGTGAAGCGTAGAGCGAAGTGTTTCCTCTAGAACATTTTCGACACATAAATGCTAAAAGGCTCTTATAATTCGATTTACTTGTGGTCAAACATGTAAATGCAAACTAGGGGTCAAACATGCACGGACATTTTAGACATCTAGGGGTCAAACATGATCCCCTCCCAGGTATATAATTGGATCTGCCATCAGTTTCATGCCAGAATCCAGCATGCCACTTTGCAACATCTAAACACCTATGTTTCATTACAGTTTTGTGGCTCGGATCTTGAATTCAACTAGATAACCTCCATTGCAAACTCTCGATCTGCCACTAGTCTTGGAAGCACATCCCATCACAAGTTTATAATAGCAAAAATACAAACACCGTTCTATTAAAAATTTCAGTGTGATACCTGGTTTTAAATAAATTAAGAATATATTTCCTTGAAAGCAAATGCAATAACAGCGGCCCTTAAATCTGTGTATACCATAGGTTGGATTAGTAAATCATGATTAGGAATTTAGGATTAGGACAACATATCTTTCGCAAGCATCAGAACGATTCAGAAAAGTCAAAACAAACCCGGCCAAAAATGCTATTGCCCGTCTCAATCCTGGCTCTCTATCTGTACACTCGATTTTATCGCGTTAGAAGAAAATAACTATGAATAGACTGTTGCGGCCAAATCAACTGTAGCACGAAATCGTCACCTGCCACACACCGCAGTCGCACACGGGCCGCAGAAATTTAACTGGTGAAAAAGTAAGACACGGAAGGCAAACAAACAGCGAGGGCTTGCAATCACTCACACCAGGGGACGGCGGCGCGGTCGACGATGTCCTCGAGCGTCTGGAAGACGAGCTTGCTGTCGACGAGGAAGCGCAGGTAGCCCTCGACGGTGGGCTCCCACCTGGCGACGGGGGGCGCCTGGGGCTCCTTCTCCCCCTCCCTGGCCTGGTCCTTGGTGTGCAGCCGCATGGCGACGGCCCTCATCTCGTCCACGAACGGCTTGCCCCCGCCCTCGCCCCTCGCCGCGGGCGCCATCTCGGTCGCCGCCGCCGCCGCGACCATCCTCCTCCGCTGCGAATTAACCACAGAAATCCCCGGAACGGAGCGCACGCCGACCGACACGGACAGGCCGCTGTTCCTCCCGGCGGCGGCGACCGAGACGGAGGCGCGCGGGGGCGCGAGGGCGTGGTGCGGGGCGGTGGCGGTGGCGGCGAGCGATGCCGATGCCGATGCGGATGCTGCCGCGGGCGCCATGGGTGCGGAGGCGCTCTTATAGCGCGCTAGGGTTCCGTGCACGGGAAGGCGGGTCGCCGATGGGCGATGGCGATGGCGACGGGCGGTTGCTTTGGAGTGCGGCCTTGGTGCGGGGGCGAGGGCGAGGGCGCGCGGAGGAGTGAGGGCGGAGGGGGCGGGCTGGGG